TCTGTCATTTTTTGCCTTAATTGACGTTTATTACATAAACCTCTATCTTGCTTTCTTAATGGTTTTTAGCTACACTACTTCATAAAGCAAGAAGCAGATAATTCAGCTCTTCTCGACTTTCGAGTATCTCCACATGGCCACATTTATGTGTCAGGCCAAAAATTGGACCGCGAGACTTTAGCTGTATATACATTTACGTGTATAGCAAGCGATACGGGACAGCCTAGTGCCTTGTCTGGCTCAGTTCAGGTTCAGATCCACCTAACGGACGTGAATGACAATGCACCAATCTGGCAGTTTCCTGGAGATCGAGATCGAGAAGTGAATGTCTCTATTCTTGAGATGGTTGGTCATCGAATAGCTCTGTTGCGGGCAGTAGATGCTGATGAAGGCGAAAATGGACAAGTGGAGTATATTCTCAAGCAGATAAATCACCAAAGTCTCAGCGCAAGTCGATCAAGTTTAGCAAAGCCGACCAATTCGTTTTCTTCCCCTTCTATGAATTATAATCAAGGAGAAGGCATGGTGCTAAACAGAACTTCAGCAACTGGGGAAAAACTAGCCGACTCGCTGAAGGAAAGGAGCGGAGATGAGTCTTATGTGCCACAGGCCACTGCTGCAAAGCAAAAACAGAGGCAAGGAATAGGGGACTTCCAAAACTCCTTGATTCAATCCCTTGAATATGACCTTTCACAGGCTGCTTCATCCTCAGATTCTATCCCGTCGATTCACGATGAACAGTCAGCATTTTCAAATATTGGAGAGGAGATGTTGCCAAGCGACCTTGTAGTGTTTAATACTAACTCACTTTTTGAGCTTGACCCAACTACCGGAGCTCTTTATATTGGCCGATCGCTTCATTCCTCCGACGTTGGGTCAGCTAAATTGATAATTGAAGCAAGGGACCGCGGAAATCCCGTGCGCAGGAACCCTAGAGTTCTGCGAGTAAACCTTCTTCCATGGAGAATGTCAACAGATTCTGGACTTGGCCAGGCAACATCTGTCAAGAGAACCGGTGGAATTATTGAAAGTGGAGGGAAAGAAGGTTCTATTTTGGGCAACAACGGTGGCCTTCAGGTAGGAAAAATACCATGCTTATTCATTAATAATTTATTGATTATAGTAGTTAAATGGCTAGAAACTAAAACTTATTTATTTATTTAAAGTGTTCCTTTTATCTTATTCTCGTATTTTAAATGTTAATTTTAAGAATTGAATTAAATTTAGAAAAAAAAATATTAGAAAAATATATGTATATGTTTATCTTGCTTCCGCTAAAGTCAGACTCAAATTGATTTTTACTAATAGTTATTTTTATTTTTGT